GCTGCTTCCAGCCCCAAATCCGCCTGTCCCAGCCCCAAATCTGCCTGTTCCGTCCAAAATCTGCTGCTTCCAGCCCCAAATCCACCTGTTCCTGCCCCAAATTCGCCTGTTCCAGCCCCAGATCCGCCTGTTCCGTCCCAAATCCGCCTCTTCCAGCCCCATATCCGCCTGTTCCCTCCAAAATCCGCCTGTTCCATCCAAAATCTGCCTGTTCCAGTCCCAAATCCGCCTGTTCCGTCTAAAATCTGCTGCTTCCAGCCCCAAATCTACCTGTTCCAGCCCCAAATCCGCCTGTTCCATCCCAAATCCACCTGTCCCAGCCCCAAATCTGCCTGTTCCCTCCAAAATCTGCTGCTTCCAGCCCCAAATCCGCCTGTCCCAGCCCCAAATCTGCCTGTTCCGTCCAAAATCTGCTGCTTCCAGCCCCAAATCCACCTGTTCCTGCCCCAAATCCCCACACTGCCACACAAACCTGCCTGTCAGGGCATAAAATTTGCTTCTTACCCCAAATCCCTGAGTTTGAACCTGAAATCCTTTCTGAGCCCCAAATCCATCTCTTTGAACCCAAAATCTGCCTGTTTGAACCCAAAATCCACAGGTTTGAACCCAAAATCCACAATTTTGAACCCGAAATCCACAATTTTTAGCCCAAAATCCACAATTTTGAACCCAAAATCCACAAGTTTCAACCCAAAATCCACAAGTTTGAACCCAAAATCCACAATTTTGAGCATTAAAACGTGCTCAGTCCAGCCCCAGATCAATTTTTGCCCCAAATCCACCTCTTTGAACCGAAAATCCACAAGTTTGAACCCAAAATCCACAATTTTGAACCCAAAATCCACAATTTTGAACCCAAAATCCACAAGTTTGAACCCAAAATCCACCTCTTTGAACCCAAAATTTGCCCGTTTGAACCCAAAATCCACAGTTTTGAACCCAAAATCTGCAATTTTGAGCCTCAAAAGTTGCCCAGTCCGGCCCCAGATGCGTTTTTGCCCAAATCTGTGGGATTTTCCCCCAACCCCAGATCACCGAGGGGGTCAAGCCCACCCTGTCCGAGCTGGAGAAGTTCGAGGACCAACCCGAGGGCATCGACCTGGAGGTGGTGACCGAGAGCACGGGTACGTCCTCAGACCCCAAAACCCACCCGAAACTGACCAGAATCACCCCAAAACTGACCAAAATCACCCCAAAACCCACCCAAAACTGACCAAAATCAACTGAAAACACCCCTAAATCACCCCAAAATCACCCTAAGTCACCCCAAAACTGCCCAAAATCACCCCAAAACCCACCCAAAACTGACCAAAATCACCCCAAATCATCCTAAAATCACCCTAAATCACCCCAAAACTGCCCAAAATCACCCCAAATCACCCTAAAATCACCCTAAATCACCCCAAAACTGCCCAAAATCAC